TTCTGCTCCTCAGAAACCCTGTACAGGGTCGCTATGGGTCGGAACCAACTCGACGGTACTTAACAACAACAACAATCTCTAATTGGACTGTGCCCAGTGCTTTGTTCTATCATAAGGTGTTTGGCAATGAGCAGTGCTCAACAAATGCTAGTTAAATACTTGGGTATTCAAATTTAAGACAGTTATTTAAAGAAAGGATTAACTAATTCATACACGTTTCATTCTCTAGACCTTTTTTTTTTTCACCCCAATGATGTTTTCTTTTCCACTTCATCCAGAGGAGGAGATATCAGAAGTAGATAAGTGGAAATTGAAAAGCAATAGGTATAGAATCAAATAAATCAAGGATAAGTAGTAAAATTAATCACCTATATCACCTTGATTTTTTTTTTTTTAACTTTTTATTTCAACTTCTCATCTAACCCATTTCATATTATGTCTGCAACCTTGGTCCTAATCAGTTGTCAGGCTGGGCTTCTCCTTTCAGGGAAGGAAATGGTGTAATTTAGCTGAGTATGCACTACACTCAGCTCCTTCAAGACAAGAGCAATGTTCTCATAGTCTTTATGTCCCCAGCACTTAGCACAGTGTATGGCGTGTGATGAGCACTCAGTAAATGTGGCAGGAATTGAGTGTCTAAACTTTACAGGATGGCAGCAAAATCCTACTTTTATTTTTACCAAAGATATAATATACATTTATTTCAACTTTTAGAATATTTTAAGTGTCCTAAGTAGCCTTAAAAGATAACCTTTGAGTCTTCACATTGATGAATGAATAATTAAAATATGGTATTCCATACAATGGAATATTGTTCACCCATAAAAAGGAATGAAGTATAAATACATGCTTCAGTATCAGTGAACCTGGAAAACAAAATTATGCTTGGTGAAAGAAGCGAGTCACATCTATATGAAATGTCTAGAATAGGCAAATCCACAGTGACAAAGTAGACTGCCTAGGGAGGGACTCCTGGTGTGGAGCTATAGGATCAGATGTTCAAACCCACCAGCTGCTCCTCAGAAACCCTATACAGGGTCGCTATGAGTCTGAACCGACTCGACAGCACTTAACAGCAACAGGGATGGGACAGTTAGGAGGAATTGAGTGATTGTTAATGGGTGTGAGGTTATTTGAGGGAAAGGAGAAAATGTTCTTAAATTGGTTATGATGGTATGGTTACACAACTTCGAATATATGAAAAAACATTGGGTTATACATTTTAAGTGGAATAATTGTATAGTATATAGACTATGGACTCCTTGTGTGGTGCTGCAGTATCAACACTTGTACTGTGAAACAAAATCGGCAGTTCAAACCCACCAACTGTTCTTTGGAAACTCTATACATGGTCACTATGAGTCGGGACTGATTTGATAGCACTTAACAAAAAAGCAACTGTATCTGTATCTCATTAAAGCTGTTTTTTTGTGTGTTTTTTTTAAAGTAACTTTTGATTTTGCTATTTTTGTACAGGAAGGAGGCAACCAAATGCTGGAGATCTGTTACAGACTTTTTTTAGTAATAAAATTTAGATATGTGAAACAAATATTTTAATAATATAGACTCATAAACATCAGTTTCTCAAGAAAAATATACTAATTATGTGAGATAATAAACATTTCCTAATTATTTGTTTGTTTAGATAGGAATAATTGTTTCTCATTTGGAAACTAAGCATTTTTTTTTTAAAGAAGGGTATTATCTCAAAGGAAATTAAACTGAGCCATTGTTATTGTAAATCAGAAATTTTACTGAAGTAAAATTATAATTGCATATTATGCACCAATTAATAATGTGTATTTTCCTTTCAGTCAGTGGAACCTACGGAAGTGAAGCACACAGCTACAGCCTCAGGACCAACATCTGCAGTGGTCGATCCTCCCAATATTGAAAAAGAAATAGACCCTAGCAACATCCCTACTGCTATCAAGTACCAAGACGACAATTCTCTGGCTCATCCAAATGTAAGATCCTTAACCCTTCAGCATGTCACTTGGTATCTGGTTCGTTGAAATGAAATGAAGTCCTTGGGAGCTGGTGCAAGAACATTACAAGAAGTAGATTCATGTGTTTCAATTTGCTCAGATTAGAGAGCTGACCCAGCCCTTAGAGTTGTCACATGTATTTGAATCCAGTATACCCCAATCTTGCCTCTATGTTAGGAGTAGCCTTTCTTTTTTATTTATTTATTATAATGTGAATTATGTGATAGTTTACATGGGAGAACATTAGTTTTATATTCATTTTATCCTATATCGTTTCATTGCCATGGTTATAATCCCCTCCATGCATCATCAACCAACCAAAGGGTATACCCTACAAGCCTACCCCCCACACCACCCACACCCCCCTCCCACCCCCCCCCAGTTCCCCCCCTCCCCACCCCCAACCCTGTCACAGCACACAGCCCCTCTCCTTCTCTGTGTCTAAAGTCCCCAGTAGGAGTAGCCTTTGTTATGATAAACAAAAATAGGCAAAGAGAAGAGTTGCTTTCTTTTAAATGAGGCACTAAAAGATAGAATTCTGGGCTAGCTTTAGTTTATTCATTGACCATGAACATGTCACTAGCATCATGTTTTGCTTTCTCATCTGAGAAATGGAGTGATTTCTCCTGTATCTCAAGGACTAGTGGTGGGAAGGGCATGTCACAAATTTGAAGTACAGAATGCTAACCAATAGTATTGATGTTAGTCCCTTCACTCCCAAGAGTTTCTGAGCATTATTCATTCCAAATAGAGAGTCTTCAGTTAGTCACCAAGAGTTAAACAGTGTCCAAAGCTTGTCCTGAAATATGTACTCTGTAAAGATCGTTTGTATTGTATGAGGTTAAATCTCAGTTATTTACAAATAATAACTTATTTTTTCTTTTTCTTATTTCAGTTATTTATTGATAAAGCAGAGGCTGAGGAAAAATGGTTCAAGAGATTAATTGCTCTCCGACAAGAAAGGCTAATGGGCAGTCCTGTGGCCTAAGTAAACCTGTGTATGTTTGAATCTATAGTAATGTTAGAAATTTAGGTTTTTAATTTCCAATATTAACTTTTTGCTCTTACAAATAATTTAGCTGATTCTATAAAAGGGTAATCTCATTTTATACTTTTGCCATTTAGATAGGCTTGTATATTTGTGGTTTGAGTATTCAGACTAGTATAAAATTGAAGACTGAGTAAAGATGTTTTTTGTTAACAAAAAGCTAATCATAAAATATTGGTGTTGGTATAAAAAGTACATAGTAGTGTTTCTGAGTAATTTTTGGAAAATGTCTAATTTTAATTTTAAAAGTTTCGTTAATTATGCATATAAGAATCAAATAACATCCTGTGAGTATGAAATTTCATTTGTGTCAGAAAACCCTTTTTAAAATCATTTTACCTTTTTACAGATTTTCAGCAGAATAAAAATAGTAAATAATGAACATGTTAAACTTAAAAGGATAATACATTCATTTTAAATTTTTCTTGAAATTTAAATAAATTGGTGATTTTGCTTAGAGATCAGCTTCTACTGGGCTGCTTCATTGAAACTCAGCAAAAGATTTTGGTTTATCCTTTTAGAAATCACATATTTTTGTTCCACCTACCCAGTTGATCAAACAGCCCCTGGTGACACAGTGGCTAAAGTGGTTGACTGCTAGCCCGAAGTTCAGTGATACGAACTCACCAGCAGCTCCATGGGAAAAAGATGTGACAATCGGCTTCCATAAAGATTTTAAATCACTGGCCAAGTACACAAGATGGGGCAAATCATTTCTGCAAAACCGGCTAAGAACTCTTACTTAAATCTGACTTAACCAATGGCTATTCCCTGCAGAGGAAGCCAGCTAAAGAAAATTTTGATAGGGTTATCTGTCACTATAGAAAACATTTGTCTACCAGCTGAACAGAATTCAACCCTGCATTCCATACTGAACTTGCCAGAGATAAGAACTATTAGGCCTTGTTTTCCAAAACTAGTTTCTCACAGTTGACATGAACATTTCCCTTTTCAATGTTGTCCTGTTGTCCTGTCTCACTCTAGTCTCTATGAAGAAACTATGAATACAAGATAAGTATAAGAAATCCCTTGGGGTTGGATTACTAATACATAGGACATTTTATTGTCATCTTTTTCCTATCTCTGGACCTACTAAAATCCTAGTTTCTGTTGAAATAAAAAATATAAAAGACTTACATGCAATTCTAAAAGATATGGAAAATAGATTAATAATGAAATGCTTGTTTTCATAGCAACATGTTTTCCCATATTCTATAGATGCTAGTGTTCTAACTTTTTAGCTGAAGATACAGTAAAAGTGTCCAATATAAACTCAAATTTGTATAGCTTTTAATATAGATATTGAAATTTTTTAGAACTTAAAGGATTTCAGTTGCTGAAATATGTTCTGTTTCATTCTCTGCATAACTTATAAACTGTGGAAATACAATCACCCTCTTAGAAAGTATATTTTAGTGGTCTAGGGAAGAGCTCTGGTAATGTAGTGATTATGAATCGGGCTGCGAACTGCAAGGTCAGCAGTTCGAAACTACCAGCTGTTCCGTGGGAGAAAAATGAGACATTCTGTTCCCATAAAGATTTACAGCCTCAGAATCCCTGTACAGGGTCTCTATGAGTCAAAACTGACTCCACGGCACACAGCCAGCCACAACCAGGGAAGAATAGGAGTCCTGGTGTGGTACTGTAAGGTAAGCTAACCACAGTGTAAGTGGTTCAAACCCACCAGTTGCTCCTTGGAAACCCTATACAAGGTCACTAAGAGTCGGAACCGACTTGTCAGTATACACCAGCAACAGCAGGAAAGGATAGAGGTTTTCATTTGGGCCACCAATGATTCCCAGAGAAATTTTTCATGAAGAATAGAGAAACAAGTTACCTTTATTTTAAAATAAACTATACTTTTCTCCCAGCAGGAATCCAGTAACTACTTCCTTACTTCCTGATTTCCAACATGATTCATTTTGTTGTATTATTAACTTCATTTACCATTATTCTTGTGTAAGACCACAAATTACTATACAAGCCAAATCAAATTTAATGAGAAAGACTTCATAGAACACTATCAAACATATCACCAAACTCAAGCTAGGTGAGGCTTCTTGGCTTTCTTTAATATCCTAATATAATGAGTCTATAAAAAGAGAACAATCCCTTTCATGTCACTTGATTAATGATAACAATTTGGACTTACATGAGCCTCAAAGTGTTTTTTGAAACATCAGTATCTAAGAGAATGATGGATCCAATAATCCAGCTTGGGTTTTCATTTTTGATTACTGAGTGCATTCTAAGAAAATGAAAGAGGAATATTGTTTGTGGCATTCCCTAAGGAGCAGATATCTGAGGAGATAGCACAGGACCCTTCGAGGCATCCTTCACGTCAGTACCCTAGCATGTGAAATGAAGATACTAACTACTTTGATTTTTCAGTAAAATGACATAAGAGAAAGAACTCTATTTTTTGTTGATGACGGTGGTGGTGGTAGTGTTTTTATGCCAAGATACATTTGACATTGTAGCCATTTAAATGAAACATGGAACATATAGTTACATGAGTAGTAATTTGAAAAAACTACACCCTAATATTGTGGCACTGCAGGATAATGCACTGGACTACAAGGTCAGTTTGAGCCTCAAGGCTGGCAGTTCAAACCCATCAATCACTCCTCAGAAACCCTATACAGGGTCACTATGAGTCGGAACAGACTGGACAGCACTTCACAACAACAATATAAATGTACTCCTTGTGTGTATGATGAATTTCCATGACTAATGGATCCCATCCCACCTCTGTCCCCTGCTTTCCCTGGTTTCTTGCCCTTACATGGCCATAAGAAATCCTACCTGCTTCTTGTAGTTGGTGATCCACCATCTTTTTACTTGAAGAATCTTAGGCCTGCTTCACTGATTTCACAATCAGATTTACCTATTTATTCATAACTTTTTTTCTTTTTTTTTTTTGAGGACCTTATATGTGCCTGGCATTGTGCAGGGCACTTGGGAGAGCCAGTGGTGATTCTGGTGGGAATTTTGCCTCAAAAGGCTTAGTTAGAAAGGTCAGATACATTTTTTTAAACACAACAACAGTAACAACAAAAAAACACCAATGCAGTCAAATAACTTCTGATTCATAACAACCCTGTAGGACAGAGTAGAACTGTCCCACAGGTTCCTAAGGCTGTAATCTTTACAGATTCGGAGTCCTGGTGTGGTCTGCAGGATGATGCACTGGACTGCAAGATCAGCTTGAACTGAAAGGTTGGCGGTTCAAACCCACCAGCCTGTACAGGGTCCCTATGAGTCTGAACTAACTCAGAGGTACTTAGCAGAAACAACAATCTTTATAAAAGCAGAATGTCACATCTTTTCTCCCATGGAGCGGCTGGTGGATCCCAACCAACCAACCAACCTTTTGGTTTGCAGCTGAGTGCTTTTAATCACTGCACTACTAGGGCTCCCTTCAGACATGTAAACAATGTAAGAAATACAGTAGTTAATGACAGAAGAGGAAACTCAGTTGTGGAGAAAAGAGAAAATGTTGCTAGTTAGAGAAATGACTAGTAACTCTTCCTTGATAACTTCATGGACAAGACCATAACTGAACTAAGACTCGAGATAAGAATGTTCATGGAGTTATAGGAACTCACACCCACCCACTTCTATCTTCCGTGTATGAACAACCCATGTAACCCCACCCTTTCAGCTTATCAAAAATACAGGCACAACCTTGAGGGCATTATGTTGAGTGAAATTAGTCGGTCACAAAAAGAGAAATACTGCATAGGCCCACTACTGTAAAAGACTAAGGGAAAGAACCCATACTAAAGGGGGGTGGGAGGGAGTCTCTATTGATTATTGGGATGTTGGGGGTGGGTGAGGGGAGGGAGGGGAAGGTGGAGCACAGGGCAGGGATTAGACACAGGATAGTTTGGGTGATAGGGAGGAGGGGAAAAAAATACAGGCACACCTTTAGGCTCCTGGTCACTCTTTGTTCTCTCTGACCATTTCTTCCTTTGGTGGAGAATTGACTTCACCAGTCTGACATCACTGTCACTTGCAGCCAAGATGACGTGAGTTTCTCCAGTGGTAGCTAAAAGGAGACTTCCTCCCAGTGGGTTCAAGAAAGAACTGAGCCTGCCTGTAAGGACTTGCAGAGCGCTGTGCATTCCTTGATCCTCTTTATTTTCCCACTCTCTGTTATAGCAAGCATAGCTTTGTGACAAAATGATGGCATTCATTTGCCTGTGTTTAAGTCCCACCCCAAATTTTGGGTTGGTTTGTTTTTTGTGGTTCCCCAGGATTTCCTTCTCTTTTTTTAGTGAAAATGTACACACACACACACACACACACACACACACACAATACACTGGCTCAACAGTATCTGCATGTATAGTTCAGTGTCATTAGTTATGTTCTTCACTGTCGCCATTCTCACTATCTCTACCCAGGTTTTTTCACTGCCATTAACTTTTACTCTCTGAGCTTTAGAGTTATTCTTGTCATTTTGATCTCATGTGGATAATTCTTTTAAAAAGCAATTCTTTAAATGATTAAGGCTGACATTTAGTATGAATGGAGTTAAATTATTTAGTTTAAAAATGGCTTCATGGGTTAATATCATCTCCAGATTTAAAGATTATTTCAGAACAATAGATTTGGGTTTTCTCCAGTCTCCAGTAAGTTTGGTTTCTATAAGACGTTGATATTTCTGTTCCTTTGATCAGGATTCATCTCTTAGGCCTGTGATGAAAATGTTAAGGAATGGTAGCCAGGCACCAAACATTTCTTCTGGTCTCATGGCTGCCAAAGGAGGTAGTAATTCATGAAGGCAGTTAAATTACAGTCCATTTCCTTCACGGATTCTTGGGTCTCCTTCTTCTAGTGTTCCAGGCAAATAGAGACCAACTAAATCTTGGGTGGCCGCTTTTAAGACCCTAGACACTACACACTAAACCAAGAGGTAGAATAGAAACTCTAAA